ATATAAACTACAAGGCAATATCTGAACTTTTTACCTCAGGAAGAAGCTCCAACCTTTGTAGTCCTCGGATCTACACTTGTCCACCAACTTCTAGCCTCTACAATGGACTCCTCTTCTCTTTTACTACCTTGAAATGACACTTTGAAGCTTAGAACACTCACACCCAAGCTAAAAACGAAGGAAATGCTCTCTTAGGGTTTCTTTCTGAAGGATGGTGACTGGGGGACAAGACCATCTCATTCCTTTTATAGCCCTCAAGTCATATTAGGGTTTTGAGTATGGACCGGTTACGCCCAGGGTACCCGGGTGACATCGCGTTCAAAATAAGCGCGCGAGTACGCGTAGCGTACTCACTCAACACAAGATCCAAAATGACATTATGGAAAAGATGAAGGGTTAAATGGTCGTACCTGAATTTCAGGCTGTTACAAGAGGTAAATATGATGTAAGAGACGACCCTTAGGATAAATCCTTAGGGAGGGTACTTAGAAATAAATAAGATAATGGGGATGGGTAGTTGGGTTAATTGTTTGATGATTAAACATAATAATTATATTATTGTGGGTTGAAAACCCTATGTACTCTTCAGGGTTCCCAACCTGACCCACTCAATTTACTTGTGTCACAGGTGATGATGTGAAGTTACATTACACTTAGAGATTAAGGAGATATAGATCACTAGTGTAAATGAATGTAAGTTCTATTTATGCTTATATTTTTGTACTGACGATGACATCCCAAATGTTTTAAAAGCAATAAAAATACATTTTTTCGGAAATGCTTTGATAATGAAATTATCATATTTTTTTTCTGGGAACAAATTCTACAACGTTTTTATTGAAAGAGATACTCTGATTTTTATAAAGCATAAACAAAAATCGGTCTTTTCTGGCCATGAAAATGGGGATGTCACCGTTGGTATCAGAACATTAGTTTAAGCGAATTAAGAATATGGATTTATTTATAGGCTTAAACTTATAATGCTAAACAATGATTGTGAGGAGTGTCTCAGGTAATACACCTGAATAGACACAAGCACTAGCTTATTTATGGAAAATGCCTAACATGCTTTTATGTGCTAAATGATTTATGATGCTAAATGTATGATTGGATCTATGGTTTGTTGCCGACCGGATCTGAAAACTTTATGTGTTCAAATTTCTAAATGTTTAATTTCGGTATTAGAACTTATATGTAACTTTTCGGAGTGATAAAAAGATTTACACGTCGATCGTAAATAAAATCTTTCTTATCTAAATTCTCGTCGATACACACCGAATGTTTAAATTGGTGAATAAAACGAAATGACAAGAACCCGCAGTGGAGTTGGGAATGTAAATGGAAACAGGAATCAACCACCAGTGATTGAGCAAATACCTATTGTAATAGCCGCTCCTGAGCCAATCACGATGGTCGGAGTACAAGCGTTGATCCAGATGATGTTGGATCGTCAAATGGAGGAAATAAGGCATTTACTTCAACAAACTCGAGAGGAACTTACGATGCCTATTGAACAGCCCGAGCTGAATGACGGACAGTCTGAGGAAGGGAACGACAGCAGGACCGTTGGTCAAGCTGATCCACCGGTGATTAGGAGGAACAATCAAGATGACAAAGTCGAGAGGAATGGATGCAAGTACAAAGATTTCCTAACTTGCAAGTCATCGACTTTCATTGGGAAGGAAAATTTGATCGAAGTCATGGATTGGATCTCAGAGATGAAATTAGCCTTCATGACATGTGGTTGCAAAGGCAAGCTATAAACCACGTTGTAGTACGTCAATTAAGAGGAGGCGTTGTTCGCTGGTGGAACACCCTGGGGAAGACTCCAAGCCCCAATGAGCCCCTGCAATTGACTTGGGCAGAGTTTTTGGTGAAATTCAAGCGTAAGTATTGCTCAGCCCAAAACCTGCTCGAGCTATAGAAAAAATTCCTAACTTTGAAGAAAGGAAGCATGTCCATCGATGATTACACCAATAACTTCACAGAGAAATCTCAAAATTTACCATTTTTTTAATTATTCACCTACATAGAAAATTTTAAATTAAACACCAACAATTAAATTAATTAATTAAATAAATAACATTTAAGACTAAAATATCTAAATTTTATTTACAAATGTTAATTCTATATGCATGTGTCAATTATTTTAGGGTATAAACAATCAATATAATATCAAAACATGTTTCAACAAACTGTAAACAGAATTTTCTGTTCAACACCATACCCATAAATAATAATGATTACTAAAATGTTAAACTACAACAATTTTTTTTTTTGTGTGTGTGTGGGGGGGGGGGGGTGGGGGGGCAAATTGATTTAAAGTTTCACACCAGGTACCATCAATAAAGTGATCCACTTTCTTATTTGACAATAAACTTGTCAATGTTGCGTGTTTCTAAAAATGCTTTGTCATATTAAAAACGATTTAATCACGAGATGTACTTAGTATACTAAAGTTATATAAACTTTGTATAAACATATTATCTAAGAATCATAACTTTTATAACTCTAGCATATACTAAAGTTATAATAGTAAACTATATGATTTAAACGGTTATAGTCGGTTGTAAAAGTGATATTCTTTACCAATCGGTTGGATTGATTTTATAAACAATTCAGATTAAGTTTAGTGTGTTACTCATATAATTTGGTTATATATTGAACACATACATACCATTTATTTCTCATGCACACATACCTATTTGAGAACTTTTTTTCCAATGGATTTTTTAAAGATACAAACTTTCATACTTACTAGCAATATCATTTAGAAGTTATAGAATTTTTTTCGAGACGTGCATATGTATGTATATATATATATATATATATATATATATATATATATATATATATATATATATATAGGCACACACACAACATATCGTCTATCAAAACACCATAAAACATGCACAAATGCATCGTTTAAGGGTTTCATGAATAGAAAACATCCAAAAAAAAATTATTTTTGAAAGGTGTATATGTGCATGTAAAAAGTGATATTGTTGTTGTTATTATTATTATTATTATTGCATATGCATATTTAAAAATGTTTTATCCCGCCAAATCACTTAGACATAATATTTATTTACATTTGGTGTTCTTTTTGTTAAAAAATATCAATGGAAAAAAAAATCTCAAGGATATGGTGCTCATAAGTTCCTATTTAATCTTGACTCGAAATTTGTTGTCAGAAACGTGTCCTTATGTTTCAGAAAAGTAGTCCGTCTAATATATATATATATATATATATATATATATATATATATATATATATAATGTATTAAATTAGTAATATCATACTAGTATAACCTCATAGAAACATACAAATATATATATATATATATATATATATATATATATATATATATATATATATATATAGGTGTGAGACCCATATATTATACGAGTTTATTAAAAACAATTAATATAAACTCTTAAATAGTAAGCACTTTTTAAATTTTATATATATATATATATATATATATATATATATATATATATATATATATATATATATATATATGAAGCCTTTGATGAACCCAAACGTTGTTTTTTTAAACAAAATTTAATGATTATATTGTTATATTATAACATTATTCTCTTCAAATAAACCCATAGAAGTTGATACTTGGTTCAAAACAATTAAAAATGAAACTAATAATTGATTAAAAACTACTATTACATAAAAATAACCCATTCTCAAATGTCAGCCATGTGACAAAACAATATAATGATGTATACCTGATTCAAAACAACTAAAAATACAACATATCACTTGTAGTAAGGAGCACCCAATATACCTTACCATGTGAGTTAGAAGCATTTATTGCTATTATGTCTTCAAATATACTTATAAAGTCTTTGATAATTTATCCTTAATTACCATATGAATAGTCACACCTTTCTCCCTCTAAACCTTATTCTTCCCCAAATATTTCTTCTAACTTCGATTCTCTCATCTCATGTACCTCTTTTCACAGTCACTCTCTCTCAATTGGGTTTTCAAGAATCGTAATGATTTCACCTGAACAAATATAATCACCATTGATGTAGGTGGTGCTCTCTTTCAAACAACCATACAAATCCTAAACCTAGCTGGTTCGATAACCTTTTCTCCAACCTCTTCAATTCTTCTGAACAACCGCACAATCCATTTCATTGATAGACTTTGAATTGGTTTCGACTCTTTTATTTTTATTAAGAACATGGAGTCTTCCATCAAAAGCCAAAAGTTTTGAGATTCAAGATATTGTTTTTGAAGCGAAGTTTTATAGGGTTAAACATCTTCTTGTTCAATCTCAACCATATTTAAATTAACAATTATATATATATATATATATATATATATATATATATATATATATATATATATATATATATATATATATATATATATATGGGAAAAGTGAATATACTATTTAGGGTATATAAACTTAGGTACACAAACTCACCATACTATCTCGTTTTGCATCATATAATACATTATAATTGTCAAATATTCTTATAATTTAACTTCAAACTTGATTTATTTATAAGATTTTTATAAATTAAACATTTATCTTCCATATACATAATTTTTATTTTCAACTATTGTATATATAACATAGTAGGTGTTCGACAAAAAAGGTGATGTACGAGAAATATAATAGTGAAATTTCGAAAATTTTGAAAGTAAATCAAGTTAGGAGTTGAAGTTTAAAAACATTATAATAAATATATCTTACAAAATAGCATGTTATGATGTGTTTGGGTACCTAAACTTATATACCTTTAAGAGTATATTCACATATATATATATATATATATATATATATATATATATATATATATATATATATATATATATATAACTTAAAAAGATCATTTGAGTATCTGCTTTTCCATTTGACAAATTGCACTTAAACGAAAAGTACATACGTTTCGAATTTGATTTTCAAAAATATATATTTGAAAACGATTTTCACAAATATAATTATAAATTTTAAAGTAAACTAATAATATAATATAAATTGTAATTTTATATGATGAAAATTAGAATTTAGAGCAATTCCGAACGACGTGCGAGGGAACCCCAGCTAAGCGAAGAGAAAAGAAAAGAAAAGAAACAGTCGCCTTTCATCAACAAAACACGAAAACTTAGGGATCCCATTTTCCTTAAAAATCTCAAGAATCCGACTTCCATATTCGGCAGCGGCCCATCAATCAACTCGATCTCTGCTCTGCTGCCTGATTTTTCACTGTTCTTATTCGATTTATACGAACATCGGCTCAATTTATTGTTCTTTTTACGGATTAAGCTGCTTGGAAGGGATATACTCGTTGATTTGTGTATTAGCTTGTTAAATTTAATTAATGAAGCATAGGTAGAAGCTGTAGTTGATCTGTTGTTACATTGAAGTGATTCCAGGCGCTGCCGTTTCCCCGATCTGATCCAAGTTTAACTGCAAATGGTATGTGTTATTCTGAATATTCATTCAACTAGTTAGCAGTATTTTACTTGAAACTTGTAGCTAATTACGATCTACGTTTTTTAAAAAATGTTTGGTATGAAATGTCGGTGTTTTGCGTTTAATAGATGTCTATTTCAGCTCTTTATTATATTTAGTAACGATTAATTCGTTTAAAGATGTTCCTTTTTTCAAATAATTTCATTTTTTCTGGGGAAAAGAATGGTTCTTGATTAATATCCATAGATGGCTTGAATTCTGTCGAGTTCTTCAAAATTATGCATATTTTAGATTTGGACCTAGGGTGCTCTGGACGCTGAACTACCTTTGTGTCGTTAGGTGGTTAAACGTGAAGCTCATATGATGATGGATGCGTCTTTTTTATATTTAAATCCATCTACATTGTTGATCTTGTTAGCATATGCTTTTTGCTTGTTGTCATTTCATTGAATTTATAACTGATGAGATGTAAGGAACCAACTTCTTTAACAAAATTTGTGGGAATATCTTATAGAAGTATCCCTAACTTCAAAACATATTGGTACCTTATGTAGGCAGCAGTCAGTGTAGGGGTTGGATCACTCGTCTGGGTGGAGGATCCAGACGAGGCTTGGATAGATGGGGAAGTTGTTGAGGTTACTGGTGAAAACATCAAGATTGCTTCTACTTCAGGCAAAACGGTGAGTATTGTTGATGTGTTTCTTAACTTTTAGCTTCTTATATTAAATGTATTTTGAGCTGACATTTTCATTGAAACTTTAATGATAACCTGCTTGTTGAGTTTTTATGTCATTTGTCTTTGTTATCCCATTGGATGATTGAAAGATCAGTCAAGGAGAGCTTTGTCTTTTCTTGGATAGTTGTATACTTTGTCCTTTTGCAATGCTTCAAACTCTTTTGTTTGTACATGAGAAATAGAGGCATTGTATTTGCCTAATTATTTTTATAATTGTTTTCTTTTGGTTCTCATTATAGGTTGTTGCCAAGTCATCACATGTATATCCTAAAGATGCCGAAGCACCACCATGTGGAGTGGATGATATGACAAAGCTTGCTTATTTGCACGAACCAGGGGTTCTTGCTAACTTAAGATCTAGATACGATATAAATGAGATATATGTGAGTTCTGTTATGACCTATTCTTTTAACATAAACATCTTAGACACATAATCGAAGCTAATGAACTTAAAATGGTGCTATTGCTACTAGACTTACACAGGGAGTATATTGATAGCTGTAAATCCTTTCACAAGATTGCCACATTTGTATGATAGCCATATGATGGCACAATACAAAGGGGCAGCATTTGGGGAACTGAGCCCCCACCCTTTTGCAGTTGCAGATGCAGCATACAGGTATTGTTTCACAATCTTATTGTGGTATGTTGATTAAGGAATCACAATAAGTGAAAAAAATCCATTGATTTGGTGCAGGGTTATGATCAATGAAGGGATAAGTCAGTCAATTTTGGTTAGTGGAGAGAGTGGAGCTGGTAAAACTGAAAGCACAAAACAGCTCATGCGTTATCTTGCTTACATGGGAGGTAGAGCTTCAACTGATGGAAGGAGTGTTGAACAAAAAGTCTTAGAGGTGTTTACTCTTTACATTTATAAACTTTTTTTTTTACTAGATATTTATAATGGATCATAATATTTTTATGCTTTCTTCATGTTGTAGTCCAATCCTGTTTTGGAAGCTTTTGGTAATGCGAAAACTGTCAGAAACAATAACTCAAGGTGGGAATAACCTCTTCTTCTTTAAAGTTCTACCATGTTGTACATTAGTTTCTGGTATCTGATTATTGCTATTGCTTCAGTCGTTTCGGTAAGTTTGTGGAGATTCAGTTTGATGAGAAGGGAAGAATATCAGGAGCTGCTATCAGAACATATTTGTTGGAAAGATCTCGTGTTTGTCAACTATCTGATCCTGAGAGGAATTATCATTGCTTCTACATGCTTTGTGCTGCACCACCTGAGGTAAAATGGGGTTTGACCCTATTTTTGGCATTCATTTTGTGAACAAAAATATAAAATATGCTTACAGACTGTATCATCTTCAACATATCTCTGCTTTATTTTCTTAAAATGTTCTCTTGAATCTTCTTATTTGGTGTGTTTTCTGTATTACTCATATCCGTTATGCTTCCAGGATTTAAAAAGATACAAAGTGGGAGATCCAAAGACATTTCATTATCTTAATCAATCAAACTGCTACCAGATAGATGGGCTAGATGAAAGAAAAGAATACATTGCTACAAAGAATGCAATGGATGTTGTTGGAATTCACTCTGAGGAGCAGGTAAAATTTAAAGAATAACTCAAAAAGGAAAAGTTTGGTTTAACCAACCGTATGTTACCTTCCACTTTTTGTTTAGTAATTATTATTTCTATCTACAGGATGGAATTTTTAGAGTTGTGGCTGCAATTCTTCATCTGGGGAACATAGAATTTACAAAAGGAAAGGAAATGGATTCGTCTACACCCAAAGATGAAAAATCTTGGTTCCATCTAAAAACCGCTGCAGAGTTGTTCATGTGAGTGGCCAAATTTATTACACAAATGTAACTGAGAGTGATAAGCAGTAGTAAATGTCCTAATAAGCTAAAGATTTGTTCAGGTGTGATGTGAAATCTTTAGAGGATTCTCTATGCAAACGTGTAATTGTAACACGTGATGAGACCATCACCAAATGGCTGGATCCAGAAGCTGCTGCAATCAGTAGAGATGCATTAGCAAAAGTTGTTTACTCAAGATTATTTGACTGGTAAGCTTCACTTTGTTTCATCATTTCATGCTGACTTAACTAGATTTTCAACAGCTTCAATAGCTATGTTAAATTTATGTACTTTTAATTATAATTATATTATCCAATTTGCATTGCAGGCTTGTTGATAGGATTAATAACTCAATTGGTCAAGATCCAGACTCAAAATACATAATCGGAGTGCTGGACATTTACGGATTCGAGAGTTTTAAGACAAACAGGTGCTTTACTGGTATGCCTTTTGTTTTCATAGTTGACCAGTTATGCCAAGTGGCATAATATCTTATTCCAAATGTGGATTCTTTCAGCTTCGAGCAATTTTGCATCAATCTGACAAATGAAAAGCTCCAACAACATTTCAATCAGGTATAAATCTTTTCCAAGTTCATTGCTGAAATATAAATACTGTATACACATTGTTATCCGGTGAGCTATTTTTGTTTTGCAGCATGTCTTCAAAATGGAGCAAGAAGAATATACAAAAGAAGAAATCAACTGGAGCTACATTGAATTTATTGACAACCAAGATATCTTGGATCTCATTGAGAAGGTTTGGTGTTTTATATATGCTGAAATTAGTATCTAAGCAATGTTCATATCGTTTCAGTTCTGATGCATTTTCTTTCTTCTGTATAGAAACCTGGTGGCATTATAGCTCTTCTAGATGAAGCTTGGTAAGTAGTCAAACATAGGAAACAGTTTTTTCTTTGTATCAAGATATGGATTCTATATAAAAAGATATAATTATGGCATTTTGTAAACACTAAACAACCACTTGTGTTTCTGCAGTATGTTTCCCAGATCAACACATGAAACATTTGCACAAAAGCTGTATCAAACATTTAAGAACCACCAACGTTTCACCAAGCCAAAGTTGGCTCGTTCTGACTTCACCATTTGTCATTATGCTGGAGATGTAAGTTCTTTTAAGAATAAACACTTTCTGGTTTTTTGAGAAACCATGAATCATGAATTTGATTTGTATTTTTAGGTCACATATCAAACGGAGTTGTTTCTTGACAAAAACAAAGATTATGTCATTGCTGAACATCAAGCACTCTTGAGTGCCTCACGTTGCGCCTTCGTTGCAAGTTTGTTTCCAACTTCATCTGATGAATCCTCCAAATCATCAAAGTTCTCTTCAATTGGTACGCGTTTCAAGGTATGATCTCCCACCCTCCATTTCCCCACTTAACACCATTGCAAACACACAGAATGATAATTATTTCTTTTTCTTTTTCGTTTCAGCAACAACTACAACAACTGCTTGAAACTTTGAGCTCAACAGAGCCTCATTACATACGTTGTGTAAAGCCCAACAATCTTCTCAAGCCTGCTATCTTTGAAAACCATAATGTTCTACAACAACTTCGATGTGGGGTAAGTACGTGCGTGACAATGACACATCATTTTTCTTCCACTCATTTTTGTCATTCATGTTTCCGTATATATATATTTAATTGATACACAATGTTTAATTCAGGGAGTCTTGGAGGCTATCAGGATCAGTTGTGCTGGATATCCCACCAGAAAACCGTTTGTTGAGTTTGTTGATCGGTTTGGCATCCTGGCTCCTGAAGTTTTGGATGGAAAGTAAGTTGAAAGATTAGATATATATATTTTTTCTGATAGCTCAATTGTTTAATGAGACAAATAAACTGACCTAAAACTATTCTTGTATTTGTTTTATGATAGCAACGATGAAGTCCTTGCTTGCAAGAGGCTTCTTGAAAAAGTTGGACTTGAAGGGTATCAGGTAGGACTGCAAGTCTGGAATTCCATTTGTTGGAAGCTTTTCTGCATACAGAATCTTAAAATTCAAGAATCATTGTTTATGCAGATTGGTAAAACAAAGGTGTTTTTAAGAGCTGGACAGATGGCTGAGCTGGATGCTCGCAGGACTGAGGTGTTAGGTAGATCAGCCAGCATCATTCAAAGAAAAGTCCGTTCATATATTGCTAGAAAAAGTTACATATTGTTGCGTCGATCTATCTTGCAAATTCAATCTGTTTGCAGAGGTACTTTTTCTTGTTGACTTTCAGATTTGCATTTACTTCCTTAGATAAGTTTAATAATCTGACACCTGTCATTCTCTTTGACCAGGTCAACTTACTCGCCAAGTTTATGAAAGCATGAGAAGAGAAGCTGCTTCTATACGGATTCAAAGAAATTTGCGAATGTATCTTGCAAGGAAAGCTTACAAGGAGCTTCACTTTTCTGCTGTTTCTATCCAAACCGGCTTAAGAGGAATGTCTGCACGCAATGAGCTTCGCTTTAGAAGGCAGACAAAAGCAGCAATCTTTATTCAGGTCTTGTAACTTTTCCCTCCAAATGTGTTGTTGTTTGTCATCAGTCAAACATGATGTCAATTCTTGATTTTGACTTTCTTTAAATCTTGACCACAGAGCCATTGTCGCAAGTTTTTGGCTCGTTTGCACTTTGTGAAAGCAAAGAAGGCTGCAGTTACTATACAATGTTCATGGAGAGGAAAGGTTGCTCGTAAAGAACTGAAAAAGCTTAAAATGGTAAAATATTCCACTGTATCTGTAACATTTTGATGTTAATACAAAACAGTTTTTGGTAGTTAATTTGTGTTTTTTCTTGGAATGTAGGCTGCAAGGGAAACTGGTGCACTGCAAGCTGCGAAAAATAAACTAGAAAAGCAAGTTGAAGAACTGACATGGAGACTGCAACTTGAGAAGCGAATGAGGGTAAGAGCAGAGAATGAGCTTTTATGTTTTAACTTTTATGTGAACTCTATCATCTGTTTGTCTTTCACTGTATGTGTAATGACACCATTTTTTACAGGCTGATTTGGAAGAAGCCAAAACACAGGAAAATGCAAAACTACAATCTGCTTTACAGGATATGCAATCTCAATTCAAGGAGACTAAAGAGTTGCTCATGAAGGAACGTGAAACTACCAAAAAGGTAGTTGAAGCTGTTCCTGTCATTCAGGAAGTCCAAGTTGTTGACCATGAGCTCACAAATAAGCTTACTTCTGAGAATGAGAAGCTCAAGGTGAGAAAGCTCAAGTTTATTGGCCAATTTTCAGGATTTACTTTTTTATCATCTTGAGCCTTGAGCTTTATTTGTTATGTGGTTGTTCTTTTATAAATAGGATTTGGTTAGCTCTCTGGAAAAGAAAATTGATGATACAGAGAAAAAGTATGAAGAAACAAATAAACTCAGTGAGGAGAGGTTGAAACAAGCTTTGGATGCAGAGACAAAGATTATTCAGTTAAAAACTGCCATGCAGAGGTTTGTGCCCATTTATATATATATATATATATATATATATATATATATATATATATTCTTATTCAGAGCTTTCTCATTATGTATTATAATAAATTGTGTTTCTTCGTTCAGTCTTCAAGAAAAGGTTTCTGACATGGCATCTGAGAATCAAATTCTTCGACAGAAAGCATTTTCTACAACTTCTGCACGTATGGCTGAATACCCACAAACTCCTGAAGCTAAGGTCTAAATCCATCTCTTCATTTTTATCATTCTATTTTTTCTTTACTTAAAATATTTACCCATTGACTAATTTTTCCTAACAGAGCATGGCGAATGGTCACTTTGCAAATGAGGTAATGTTATACTGGATGTGGTACACTATTGTCATATTAATATAATGTTTGAATGAAGTTTTGCTTAACATGTTGGAGGAAATATTTTCAGGAGACACAAACACCTGCTGCTAGGAATTTGAATAATGAATTTGACAGCAAGGCTAAAAGACCACCAGTTGATCGTCAACATGTATGATGATATCCTTTCTTTTTGCAACTCAAGTCTAGTGAATAGTGGTATTATTATTATTATTATTATATTTATAATTTATAATTCATTGAAATGTTGTTGCAGGAAAACGTTGATGCTCTTATTGAATGTGTTAAGAAAGACATTGGATTCAGTCAAGGAAAACCTGTTGCTGCATTTACTATATACAAATGTCTTATCCAATGGAAGTCCTTTGAAGCCGAAAGAACTAGCGTGTTTGATCGTCTCATTCAGATGATTGGTTCAGCCATCGAGGTATTTTTCCAGAAGAAAATCAAAAGGGAACATTCGTTTTTTTATTTTAGATTCATTAAAAGTAGAAAATTATTTTGCAGGATCAAGATAATAATGAACACATGGCATATTGGTTATCGAATTCGTCTACTTTGTTGTTCTTACTACAAAGGAGTATTAAATCTGATGGTGCAAATTCAGTTCGTAAACCTCCACCTCCAACTTCACTGTTTGGGAGAATGACAATGGTATTGATATTGGATGCTTAATATTATATATAATGTATATATTTTAATGTATATTCATTGATGTGATTTGGTTTTATTATGTAAAAACAGGGATTTCGTTCATCCCCCTCTACAGTGAACCTTGCTGCAGCTAATGCAGCTCTTGAGGTAGTACGCCAGGTGGAAGCCAAATACCCCGCCCTTCTTTTTAAGCAGCAGTTAACAGCATACGTGGAGAAAATGTATGGTATTATCCGTGACAATTTGAAGAAGGAATTGGGATCATTCCTCACGTTATGTATTCAGGTACTTAAAACTTCCTCCTAATTTACTCTTCTTGTAACCATGGTTAATTAAATGAGCGGATTGATTGATTTTTGCAATTGTGAAAAAAATTCAGGCACCACGAGCTTCCAAGGGAGTGCTACGATCCGGGAGATCCTTTAGCAAAGATTCACAATCTAATCATTGGCAAGGCATCATTGACTGCCTCAACACTCTCCTCACTACATTGAAAGAAAATTTCGTATGTATCCTCTTTTTTTTATTAATATATTATTATTATAATATATATAGATGTTGGAATGCTTATATGGCTGTTGCATTTCAGGTTCCCCCAATCATTGTTCAGAAAATATTTACTCAGATTTTCTCATACATCAACGTACAGCTATTCAACAGGCAAGTTTACTCCAAATTTGTTTTGTTTTTGAATTTTGGCTCATCATATTCCTTGATTTTACTGATAAAACTTTTTTTTTTCACCTAATATTATAATCCAGTCTTCTTTTGCGGCGGGAGTGTTGTACCTTCAGCAATGGAGAATATGTGAAAGCCGGGTTAGCTGAGTTGGAGCTATGGTGTGCTCAGGCTAAAGAAGAGGTACATATAATATAATATAATATAATATATATTTCCCATAAAATTGTTATAGAATCATTGAGATATTGTTGTAAAGTTATTTCTACTTTTTGTTTGCTACTGAAAAGTGTTATGTTTTTGCAGTATGCAGGGTCAGCTTGGGATGAACTTAAGCACATCAGACAAGCTGTTGGGTTCTTGGTATGTATACCTTTTATTTGTTTATATATTTATTTATTTCAAGATATGATTGTTTGTTTTAACATGTTTGATTCCACCCTCAGGTTATACACCAAAAATACAGAATATCATATGACGAAATCATCCATGATCTATGCCCCGTATGTCTCTCTCTCTCACACACACACACACAGATATCCTTTATGTTATTTTGAAGTGACTGACATGATATACGGGTGGGTGTTTATTACCAGATTCTAAGTGTCCAGCAGTTGTATAGAATATGCACGCTTTACTGGGATGACAACTATAACACCCGAAGTGTATCCCCAGATGTAAGTTATTAATTTTAAAAAATTCTATATTTTCGAGAATTATGATAGATTAGGCTATTTCTAAATATAAATATAAATTATCTGTCCCATTTTTTTTTTTAAATAAAAAAACAGGTGATTTCAAGCATGCGGGTATTGATGACAGAGGACTCCAACAGTGCTGCCAGCAGTTCATTTTTACTCGATGACAATTCCAGGTAAAATTTACACCTATAGTTTATCAAATCAAGTCATGTTCTCGATAAGTTGATTATACATTTTATAGATGAATTAATTAACGCCCATGTTTTTGACTTGAATTGAATTGAATTGCAGCATACCTTTCTCTGTTGATGATCTGTCAAGTTCACTCCAAGTAAAAGAGTTTGCAGATGTGAAACCAGCACTAGAACTCATCGAGAATCCAGCCTTCCTATTTTTACACGAGTAAAGGCTACTCACGGAAACATGAACATACACTACTACCCACTACCCACACATATCATATCATATCATATATAAATATATTATTCTTATGTTTGCAAATATAGCATACGCTTTGATTGTTGTAAAAAGGTCAATTCTTTATTATTTTTTTCTTCTCGCTTCTGCCCCTTTCAACTGTAACAATGTTGTTACTTTCCTTTAGCATGCCATATTTTTGGGTTTTTCTGCTATGGTCAGCAGTATTCTTTATACGAGATAGGAGACGGGTATTCGTTTTGTTATGTTATCTGGTCCGATGTCTGGGTTTTTATATTCTACACTTTTTCACTTCTTGTAATGAAATATATTATCAGCTACACAAATTTATATGGAAAGTACTTTGTAATTTGGATTTTCAAATTCTTTCAACAACTTACCAACCAAATATTGAGCAATTGAATATATGCGGCTTTCATGGCCCTTTAAGTATGCATGTTAAAATTTCTTTTGTGGATGGAGTCTTTTATTATAAAAGAAACATGTTATTAAAACGTTGTTTTAGTATATTCTTTTGTGACATGGAACATCTGTGTTGGAAATTATAGATCTTTAAGCCTTTCACTATTTAAATTGAGGGTATCCCTTCAGAACACTTGAATTCTTTTTGAAAACCATTTACCATTATACTAGGAATTGTGTTCAATATTTTGCTACTTGCTTTAACCAAATGGTCTCGAAGCAGGGAAAAGTCTTTGGAACCACATTCCTGCAGGGAACATGAGGCCAACTCCCTCGGAAAAGGGGTTGTTTTCTCCGAGCATCTTCTGTGTCTTCCACGCTTTGAATGACTATATTCTCTTACAACTTAAAAAAAAATCTACATCTTTATAATTTTTTTAATAAAAAATAATCAATCAATCTTTGTCAAATTTCTAAAATCAAACAATGAATTTATATAGTTTAGATTCCATACTTAACAAGTATCAAGTTTAGAAGTTGTGCCCTCATATAATACGTGTAGACTTGCAAAATTTATGGACCTCAATGTTCTTTGTCAATCGTCATTATTCAACAAAGAAGCACATTAAATTGCACCCAATTGCTCATTCCATGTTAATGGTGTACAATACAAGTATATGTATTATTTTGTAGATGAGATATACCCTACTTGGAATACTTTTGTGCAAATATATACCCATCCAACCGAAAAAAAGGTAAGACAAAACAGGTATCAATGACAAAGGATGTCGAACGAGCTTTTGGTGTCCTGAAAAAATGGTTGGGGTATACTAGCACAACCTGTACAGGCAATGGTTCCAAGGAAAATCAGAAAAATAATATACACTTACATTATTTTACACAATATGGTTTTAAAAGACAAATGTGCAATGATATCTCCAGTGCAAACACCTACATACCAAATCTCAACAACTAGTTTTTTTAGCTAGAATATATTTTATAATTTATTCTTAACTTTTGTTTTCTATAAGGGTGCACGAAGTGGTGTGCAGTTTGTATAATTAGGTTGATGGTACCACCTAGGCCATAAATCCGAGTTGTCGTATGGGCCACAAGCTTGGTCATTGGTGGGGTTCTACAACTTGTAAAGAATGTTGGGTTTTTGCATGTAAAGATTTTCTTTGACCATTGACTACTTTAACACATGTCCAATTTTTTATTCATAAGTAATGTAATGTAGAAGTTATTTATGTAGTTTAATCTAAAACGATGTGTTGTCAAGCTTCCATTGGTTCCAATATGTGTTGTCTTAAGCATGTATTTTCCATAGAACCCTCCCCTAGAGCAACATATGTTGGAACTAATAATCAAGTGGCACGTGTCCATTTCTCTATACAGTTACAAGAGTTAGAAAGAGTAAAGTTCACAAAGGTTCACACAGTTGTCCTCACTCCTATACCTACCCCTATTTATAGGAATTAACAGAAGCATACAAAAAATACATAAGGACTAGACACGTAAGCTTCAAACTCTAAACAGTGCCTTATATAATACATACATTCGAATATAAAATACAGACTTCGAATCTATATAAGCCAAATGGTACTTCGATACCTCACAACATAATTCAAACTCAACAATCTCCCCCTTTTGTGAGAAGTGTCGAATCTATGACATTAACATCTTTGTGGCTTGATGAAGTACTCTGCGAATCTCCGTGTACCAAACAATCGTCTTTCAGATCTCATCCTTATCTCCTATTGTATTCTTCTTGCAGTTATTAAGACGAACAAGAAGATTCATGTACTGTGAGTTTATATACCTCTCCACATCATCAAATTGAAATAAAAAACTATATAATCTTTTGATTCTTGTTCTTCCCAATGAATACAACACCCAAAGGTTTAAGACAAATCTCTCCATCTTCAAAATTCTTGAGACTACCTTGACCTTTCAGCATCGATTGAGGCACTATCACTGTTCTATTCATTACCAAAGCAAGTTTAACATCTATCAAAGCTAGACAATCATAGTAATTGTCTATGAACAGACTGATATGAGCAAAACCAATCAATAAATCTTCTTTGCTATTAACTTGAAGTTTTGACAAATCAACAACACTCAATATCTTCGCAATGTTGATGAGATCATTTAGATTCATGAGAGGAAAATCTACCACTGAGAAGTCACAAGCGACATTGTTAGCTCTGACCATATGGTATTGAAAGTTCTGCAACAAGCCTTCGAATAATGTATCTTTGGAAATATTCAGAACTTCGACAATTTTTACCAAGGACCAAACTTCCTCTTCATTCTTTCCAAGAACGACATGAAATCTCAACTTTAATCTCTTGTATTCTTCCTTATCACCAGACTTATCCACCAACTGATATTGAGCTGGGATAAACATCATGCGATTGATGGGAAAATCTAGCTGATTGAAATTCAGTATTTTTGATCTCAAAGCTCTTTTTCGTAACCTTTTTCAAGATCGTGCATATTTCCAGAAGAAACAATTTGTTCAATTGTCTCGTAACAAAATTTCTTATTTGGATCACCTTTATCAAGACCCGGTGGATCACCTTGCCTTTGTCTCAAGATGCTATTAATCCGCCTCTGTCTTTTGATTTCTTTTTCAACATTCTTCTTTTTCACTTCCTCTGAAATTACTTTCTCAATTCCTTTTCCTCTATCACCTTTATATTGCTTCGAAGGTGGTGGATTTGAACTCGAACCCCCATCAGTAGCATGGCCTTTGGTTAATGGCTATGCCTTTGCTTAATGGCCTTGAAGTCACTGTAGTTGAAGTTGTTAACATAAAGACATGATGTGATGTTGGAATTTGCGTGGTTATCACCTTCCTTATAACCTTTCCTTGATCAGGATCCTTCGATGAGCCAACCCCCTTATCCCCCCTTGCACCATTGAGTTAACAGATGGGGCATCTGTTGGCATCATATTTACACATTTAAGAAGAGGAGCAAGTTCAACTTTAAGATTTGTTTCTAAGGAAGAAAATATCTGTGACATGTACTCCTGAGAAATAGAAGATGTATGAGAAGTATCAATCTTCGAAATGGACTCGTTCAAGCTCCCCCAAAAGTCTTCCATCTTAGAAAACACCTTCGAATCGACATCAGTCTTGGCATCAAACTTGGAAGTAAAAGAAGTATAATGCTCCACAAGTTTCTTGATAGCATCAATAACAACATCTATCTTGTCATGAAGAGTCGAATGAGTTTGTTCAATCTTGGCCACCTCTTTCGACATTTCATACTTGAGGGCCTCTACTTTCAGATTAACAGACTCATGCACCTTCTTGACCTCTTAAACAAAAAGAATATGACATTCTTTAGCTACATCATGAAGCTTCTGGAATTCATACTCAAAATTAATAGCTTGAAGCTTCAAACGATCTTCATGTTGCCTTTCAATATTCGCCATGGAAAACTTCAACAGATGCTCTTGTGATTTAAGCATCATATCAACCTTAATCCCAAAAAATATTTCGACCCCAAGTATCAGCCTGAATTTGTAACAATGAAATCAGTTTGTGATTTAAAATCTTAAACTGCTTTGCTGACATAAGCATATGACCAGGAATATTATCCTCCTCTGGTTCGAGCTGAATCTCTTCAAAAGAGACCATCATCATCATCATCATCATCATCATCATCATCTTCTTCTTCTGGAACTAACTTTTCACCTTCTGTTGACTGAGAAGAGAAAAGAGCAGTAATGGGTTGATTCATGATGTTGGAATAGGTAGGTGATATTGTTAAAGAAGGAAATAAATATGGAATGGGTGTATGAAATGGTGGTAAGGCAGGTTAAGTATCAATGATTGTAGTTTCGATGGTAGAGGATAAAATGAGTGAAGTAGGAATCAGTTAAGTTGAAACAGAAGTGGTACATTGAGCTTTGGAATTCGTCACCCCTTCACCCTTGTTGACATTTGTGTCCATATTAGATATGTTCACAGTGATGCTTGAGGTTCAAACCTCATCCATAACGGATTTAGCCATCGAGACCTCAGGTGGTATGACTACAGTTTTCTCAGGGATGGAAGTTGTAGGATCACCCAAATTAGTGGTTGTGTCTATATTAAATACTTTCACAGAGCCACCATGACTTCCAGTCTCTACGAACGTTGACTTGACTGAAGAGTCTCTTTGTGGTGATGCAAAGCTAATATCTTCATTTCGAATAGGAGAACGATCACTTCCACTCTCGAAATCGCTTTCCATAACAACCTCATCAAGAGGATCTTCCAATTGCTTCTTCTTCTTCTTCTTCTTCTTAATCTTTTTCACCATGGCATGTGCTCTACATTTCTTCGAAGCGGGAGAAATAGGAGCTAGAACCTTACGAATGATGACAACCCTTCGATTGGGCTGGGGTTTGCGAATTTTCTTGATTTTTGAAATAGAACCCTCCTTTGGTGAAGAGAGAGGCTCATCAGGAACTTCATCAATTATTGGTCGTTCTGGTAAGTGATGAGGTCTACGTGCTGGCTTCTTGGTTTGTTTAAGAACACCTATTTCGAAGGAACAACTTCCTTTTGAACATCTTTTGGAACAGGTTCTTGAACAGGTTTCGTAACCTCCTTCTCAATCTGTTTTCAAGCTTCTTTGACCTCTTAGAAGCTTTTCCAACCTTCGAAGAACCTTCCGCTCCTTTTGGGAACAAGACCCCTACTTGCTCATTAGGGCTTATGTAGTTAAATAAGTAACATGTATAGGATGATCTAGATCCAGCTTTCGTAAAAAAAAATCATCTAGGATTGGAGCTACTGTAGGAAAAACCAACAGATCATCTTCAACACTTTTCGGATGCTGATAGATTTTGAACTCCGCCTTCGGAACATTAGATGGAACTAGAATGCCTTCTTTTTCATACACATCTTGAAAAATCAAGCTCCAATACCTTGCACATGAAACACCATTCGAAACATTGGTGTGTGAAATAATTGTTCCAAACTCCTCCCACAATTAAGTGACATAATCCAAATTAAGATCATAGTATATCCCTACGATCATGGCATATACTTCTAATTTGGCGTTGTCAAGACCAATGCTATGACCTGTAAGACACCGTAGAAAAATCCCAAACAAGAAGTTCCAAATAGTAGGTAATGCAGACTTACAAAACTGGCTGAGTTCTGTGAGTGGGGGTTGATGACCCATTCATTGAACATATGTATCACTTGTTCATTAGTCACCTCGTAAAATGGACATGTATTGGGACGTTTCAAGATCTGTGCAAACTGTTTCTTACTGAGTTTGTACTTCTTGTCATTTGAAAGTTGAAACGTCACCACTTTTGAGGATTTGTTAAACACTGATGTAGAACCAACCAATAATAACCAAGTCATGGGCACAAAGAAAGAAGAAGACATAACATTTGAGAGCACAGAGTGATTGAGAGCAACATTCATCATCTGTAGTGGTTTTGGGTATTTTGAAACATCAGGTTGAACCTAATAATTGGAACTTTGAATCTTCAATAATGGTTGGGATGTCGCGTCTTCAGTTGTGTTGGATGGATCAACATGACCGTGTTGTGCCACCATTGTTAGGGTTTTAGAGAATTGTATGAAGAGATAAGTATAAGGAAAGAATAATTAGGGACAAATTAAACCAGATTGCGTAAAGTTTTAATTTTAGACCACCAAATTCCTTTTATACTCAATACACAATTTGAATTTGAAACAACCACCAATGAAATTGTTCCATGTGTAGTCTTGGACAGTGGACCAATTGCCATAAAAGTCGCCACGTCTGAAAAAGTAATGAGCACTTTGCCCATGAACATCTCATATGAATCAAACTTTTCATTATCCCCAAGAGGATAAGAACTGTCACTTGACCTTCGTTTCGAGGCATGGCTCATTCGCTGTTGGGATTATAAACAAAATCATAGCCATACTTGCGAAATCTAGGTTTGAGTTGGTATTACCTAAGACCTCGAGGATTTCTATGCAAATGTGTGGCAAAGATATAGTGGGAATCAAAATAAAAAAAATGTGCGTATAGTGACATCAAATAAAATTCGGTGTAAAGTAGATGGATCCCGGGCAAAGATCACTTCATTCGACATCAAGAGAGACATCAAATTGCTTGCATGGTATCCCGTGAAGTACAATCGAATAACCATGAATGAGTATCGAAGGGCTTCTTTTACTTAGGATTTGAAGGTAGGCTTAATTTTGTTCATAAGCACAACTTAACATAAGTGTGAGTTAAATGATCAAAATTACCTGTATGACCAGTGTAGTTAGGGACAAGCGAAGGTAGGATTAATTGTAAAGTGACTAAGGTGCAAATAGATATTCATATGGAAATCCTATTCCATAAAAAAATTAAGTACTGGATCTTGTTGGGCAAAAATTTCTTGGGAAAAGAACATTTTGTCAAGATCACTCACAACGAAGGAATACGATTTTGTATATCAAAGTAAGGTACCGAAACAAATGTTTCGTGAAATATTGAACATAAAGTTCACCATCAATTCCTTGATGAGTTGGGAATGTTGGGTTTCACCATCATCACAGAATCATGAATCAGGATCATGAACACAGACTGGTGTAATATCTGCATTCTGGTTGGTTTCTACTAAAGATGTCGAGGATACGCAAGTGAAGTGTGTGAATCATAAAGAACAAAGTTGATGAAAAAGATTGGTTAAGAAACATTGTGTACCTCTACGAATGATATGGACTTAGCAGAAATCCCGTAACTTAAAATGAGAAGAGAAAGGTAGCTCGTCGATTACTTTGAATATAGCCTGATTGGGAAGGAACCATTGTAGTGAGTGATCCATTATGGCTTCAAAACACATTGAGTCTATGAGGATTAGGTCAAAATACAACATCATGCTTCTAGGGACACCTAACTAGTACAAAGATTCGAAATTGTACCTGACCCTCTATCACGAAGTAATGTCCACCAATATATGTTGATCAAGATGTACACTGAAAAATGTTAAACACACAAAACAACAACAAATTAAATATTTTTGGAATTTCCGTTTTTGAATATGAAAAACAAAAAGAAGAAAATCTTTTTGGAATTTTTGATTTTGAAATTTAAAGACAAAATAAAGAAAATCTTTTTGGAGTTTTTGTATTTTTGAAATGTGAAGACAAAATAAAGATTTTTTTGGTATTTTTGTTTTATAAAATAAAATTGTAACAGTCAAATGTTACCACACATTCGAAGTAAGAAGTATCAACTTCCAGACAAGGTACTTCGAATCATCAAATCTTCTCAGACAACGAAGTATGAACTTAAGCATGTAGATGTATTTCGAAAACGAAGGGGGTCGAACGCTGAATAGTGAATATTGACATCTGAATCCATCAACAGTATATCAAATCCTTGTTGTTTCATGATAAATACAAGCTTAGAACAACATTTACATCTAGCATTCCTAAACTAGACAAGATCCTAAGAAAATATTTCTCATCCAACGACTTTGTAAAAATGTCAGCAAGTTGATCCGTCGTCTTCACAAAGTGAACCTCTATATTTCCATCATCGATATGATCCTTGATGAAATGATATCAAAGTTCAATGTGATTTATCTTTGAATGTTGCACTGGATTATGACATATGCGTATTGTACTTTGTGAATCGCAATACAAAGCTATCTTTTTCATGTTGATTACGTAATCACGAAGTTGACTTTGTATCCATATGACTTGAGAAGTGTTAGCTACAACATCAACATATTCTGCTTCTACTGTGGAAATCAAAATACAAGTTTATTTCTTTGATTGCCAACTAACAAGCTTCCCATCCACAAGTTGACATCCACCAGTAGTGCTTTTTCTGTCGAGTTGACACCCACCAAGGTTTGCATCTGTGAATGAAGATACCTGTCTTCAAAGGGTACCATAAACCCAACAAAACATTTCTTTCAGATAACTAAAGATATTATTCACTGCGGTTAGATGGGGTTCTATGGGATTCGACTGATACCTATCACAACTGCAAACAACAAACATAATATCAGATCCACTAGTAGTTAAGTATAGTAATGAACCTATCATGCTTCTGTACAACCTGAGATCGACAACAGACTTGTCCAACGAAGGTCCTAAGTGTGTACCGACTGCCGTTGGTACTTTTAATTTTTATCTATTCGTCATGCCAAATTTCTCAAGAAAGTTATGAGAGCACTTCTCTTGATTAATGAATATTCCATCCATGCTTTGACGAATATCCAGTCCTAGAAAATTATTGATCTTACCCATCATACTTATCTCGAATTGACTTTTCATCATATTCTCAAATTCTCTAGACAATGATGGGCCAGCCGAGCCAAAAATAATATCATCTACGTAAATTTGAACTAGCATCAGATGATCCCCCACTTTCTTTTGAAATAGAGTGGGATCAACACATCCTTGTTTAAATTTAGAGAGTTTCAATAAAATGGTAAGAGTTGCATACCATGCTCGAGGTTCTTGTTTTAATCCAAAAACAACTTTATCAAGAATATAGCAATGATAAGGGAATTTATCATTTATGAAACCTGGTGGTTGTTCAACATACACAATTTCTTCTAATACGCCATTGAGAAAAGCGGACTTGACGTCCATTTGATAAATAGCGAAGTCTTTGTGTGCTGCATAAACAAGAAATATTCGAACTACCTCGAGTCTCATGACAGGGGTAAAGGTTTCATCATAGTCAATACCTTCTTGTTTCGAATATCCTTTAACAACCAACCTTTCTTTGTTTCGAAT